AAATTTCAGTCCTCTCGGACCCACGGTGCAAACATGCAATAAAAAAAATTGTGAATTTGAGCTTGACCATCAATGAACTGTAAAAGCACTACAGGCTTTTTTTGTTTTAAGGCATTTTAGTGTGTGTTTGGCTGCATTTACGTCAGTATTAACATCCATATTTGCATGATCAGGTGTATCGCTTCTTAATGTATTAATAAAAAGATGTATGCTAAAGATTATAACATAATTTTGAGTAATTGTAACTAGTATTAGTTTACTAGTAGAGTTGGCTACCTTATTTTTTGCTGAGCTTATCGATCTCCTAGAAATCTGACCTGTGAACTGTGCTTATGAGCTCTCCTTCTGGCAGAGTGTCTCGAGGGTTCAGTCCATGAGCTGACTGCGTAATCAGCTGCTGAACACACACAGATTGCGGCTGCAAACGCAATGAAACCTGCAGCCATTTTCCTAGTGAATGGCCCAATGTGGCATAATTGACTCTAGAGTAAGGACACTGATGAAAGCACAAATTGGTAGAACTCTTGGGTGAAAGCATTCAAGGCCATCCCCTCCTTGCATCTCACCTTGACAGGCATGCTCCCTGTCTTCTCCGTGGGACCCACGGAGACAGTATTCCCTCCGTTCACAGATGCCACCCCGCCCCCCTGCAGGCTCAGGGCCTTGTCCCGGCGCCGACGTTTGCTGCTGTCTCGCTGCTCCTTCTGCCTGTTCTGCACCTCCATCAGGGCCGTGATGAATGTGTTCTTCACCTCTTTCTCAAACTCCAGCTCTTCACGCCGAGCCAGCTGGCTGACCAGCTCCTCTGAGTACTCGCGGATGGCGGCCTCCACCCGTTGCAGCAGCTCGACAAGAGCTGAGCTGGGCATCAGGCTCAGGCCTGCAGAACAGGCAGTGGGGGGAGAGAGAGACATTTTCGCTTTATTTTGGGCAGAAGTATCTTTTCTTACCTATAGGTTCAGGCATAAGGCTAAAGCATATAAAGTGAAACTGTGTGAAAAAGTAAGATTTAAAGCAACTCAAAAGGTTTGATTGACAAACTAAAAAATGTGTCCCGAATCAGACTTTATTGTAACGAGGGATGGGACAATAAACAATATTTTCACATATTGCAATAAAAAACACTCAAGATACATTTATTATTGGGAATGTCCATAATCGGGATAATCGTAAATATTCTCACATGACTTGAGAAAGCTGCCTAGCTCTCCAGCACACAGTCCTATATTGATTTTCTGATTTATTTTGAACAAGGGGACAAGGGGGAGCTCACATCTTTCCAGTTATTTCAAAATCCTAAACGTGTCACCATAGCTGAGGGCTTGGCTGGACCAGTGGATCCCCATAAAAACAGTTAAACCGGATGTGTGGAAATAGTATAGATTCCAAAATAGACAACAGATGAGAGGTCTATCTGTGATTAAATAAATGTGTGTTTTTTTAACAAAATACAAGTGTTTCCAGTATGTGTTATTGCCATTTTAAAAGTATGAAGTATATTTTCATGATGACCGTGAAAATATTGTGTATCTCAATTATTTTGGCCAAGATGATCGTGACATGAACATTTCATGTCGTCCAATGCCTAATAAAAACCAAATAGTATTACTATTTAAAATAGTATTACTATTTGGTTCCTGTGATACTGCACCAATATCATTAATTTACAAAAAAAGCAGCTGATTCTGGCTTTTTTACATCATCAGTGGTTCCCAACTCTTTGTACTTGTGACCCTTTAGGAAGAAAGCAGTATCTTTGTCACATATTGAATGTTAATGAATTTTGTTTTTTTTTTATAGAGCATGTATTATGTAGCATTTTGTCAAGTTTTAGGCATGGATGAGGGTATTACTATTTTTCCTCTATATGTCACTTATTATGCAAATTTATTTTGTGTATATCTTCATGTAGACTGGTAAGTCTTTTTCTAACTGACTGTTTCCAGGCTTGGGCAGTCATATTACTATTTTCAGCTTGTGACACAGCTCTCAGCTTTCAAATTCAAAGCCAGGCTACAAGGTATTTCACAGGTGCACATTAAGAACAACAGGGAAGGGTTAAACATATAGAGAAAGAAGCCAGAAAACTTAAAAACATTGAACAGTTACATATCTAAAACATAGATGTAAAAACAAACAGCATTATTATTACTACTGTGTTCATGTACACAGCTGTGTGAGTGAAAAGGTGGTCTGCCTCAAACATGTTGTGATCCCATTTCCACTGCGGTCAGGGCAAATGAATGTGACTCAGACAGAGGAACCACATGGATCACCAATATGTTCGGCGATGGGGCACCTTATGGCACAGAACACCTTGTCTTCTTGAACTCTCACCTGCTGAAATGAGATGACTAATCTAACCATGTGGATTACTAAATCAGAACCTGACGTGTGTGGGGGTGTGACATGTTGTCATGTCCTGGTGAGTTGGTTAGCTGAGGTGAACATGCTAACTGACTCATATCTCTCCAATCTCTCTCTATGATTTGAAGACTAAAAGTCATGTAAACAACTTTTACATATGATGGATATATATTGCAATTTCTCCTTCTATAAATAGGGATGATAATATTTTTTATGTCCAGCCTAATGCAAGGACTCATTTGCGAGAGGTCTCCCCTTATTATTGATTCTTAGTGACATGCTTGAAGGAGAAATATTAATTGGATCCTAAAAGGGTATTTACGTTAGAAAGACTGATCACCCTGCTGGCAAACTAAGCAGTTTATTTTGACAGAAAAGAGTCACTTTTACATAAGCAAGTCCACAAGGAGCGATGTTTTGACAGGAATGTAGCCTGTTCACATCCCAGACCAGCCCACAACAACTGCAGCCGAAGTGTCAGTTGGGAAGTTGCATTAATTAGAACAGTAACATGAATTATTTCCAGTTTTACCTTCATAGGAGCAGTTGTTGTTGGAGGCCTGTGACAGCTGCCTGATCTCCTCCAGCAGAGAGGGGTTGGTCCTGGAGGAGCAGTGGCTGCTCTCCTCTTCATCCTCTTCCTCAGTTTCGCCAGGATCCGGAGAGTTCTCCATCATCTCGACTATCTCCTCAATGACCTTGACATACATGAGGTGAGTTTTATTGGACATGTTAAGAGGCATTCCCAAAACACATAGTGTCTTTGAAGGTAACATCTACACACATCTACATTGTTCATCCATCATGTAAAGATGAGTAGGATAGTAGAAGGAACTGGAACTAGCAATGCAAATATTGTCTCTGGGGTTCCTCAGGAGTCTATTATTGGTCCTCTGCTGTTTTCTATCTCACTTTGTTTTCGATGATACAATATGCAGATATATTTGTCCATAAATTAATCAGACAATAGGCTAGAAATTTTGAAGGTATTGCTAGGCCTTTACCTCTCCCATATTGTTGACCTTTTCACTCAATACACTCCCACTTGTAGTCTATGGTTTGCTGACCGAAAAAAACTAAAGTATCTGAATGGAAAAGACAAATTCCTTTTTTAAAACCTAAAAGAATATTAAGGTAATTCCAAAAACAAAATAACTAAGCAAAAAGGCATGATGTATGAAAAGTTGCAGGTGAAAGATGGAAAGCACCCACGCACCATTCTGAGATGAGTGTCATATTACACCCTGTGTTCTTTTTCTCATTATCAAAAACAGGACACAGACAAACTGCTGTTTGATCTTACACACACACACACACCTGATCAGCTGTGATGAGAGGCTCTTCATTCAGGCAGTTGGCGTTGTCATTCTTCTCATTCATTTCCTCCTCCTCTTTTTCGTGGATCTGCAGAATATGAGATGAAACATAAGAACCAAACAGATGGCTGCTATGGTATATCTTACTAAGAAAAAGGAGGGTTTCTTATCAAGAGTCATAAACTGTCTATTTGCATTGGAAGTAGTGATTAGTCTGGGACTGCACTCATTTGAAAGTGTCATGCTTAAATATTTTAAAAAACAATGTACTATTCCATTTGTAAAAGTGTTTATTTAGTGTTTAAATATTTATTTATGCATTTGCAATATTTGACTTAGATACAGTTTTGATAGTGAAGTGAATTTTTAAGTAAAAAAATCTGTGACATTGGCTCTAGGGATGGCAGTGTTGATATATCAGGCTAGACTTGTACCGACATTCATGGTCCCCTGATGATGTATTCTATTGACTTTAGTAAATTTTCCTCTAGCGCCACCATGAGGTTGACATTTGTGGTTTTGTGTGAAATGCCTAGACAACCATTGGAAGGGTTGTCAGAAAATGTGGTACAGTCATGTTCCTCTGATTGACAGATCATTCTCAGTGAGTCTGTCCAGCTCAACGTATGAAACTCAGCTCAAACTGTCAAACTAGGCAGTGCTGATCTAATATGAATCAAGATGTCCTTACTGTGTTGACTATTTCTTCCCTAAAATCTTTTCAGAAACATATTTAAGTGTACACTAGAATGTGTGTCATCAGATGAGCCACCATTGTTTCCTGCTATGGACTAGTCAAAAAAACTGAAGACAGGATCTTGCTGAACATGAATAACCCTCTCCCTCTGGGGCATAAACATCTTCTCTGGCTTTGACCAGCCAAAACATGGCCTAGACTGCTAAGTGCCTGCTGACCAGTTGTATGTGACAGCCAATTAAGGGAGGGGAGGAAGACCTCTGCTGAATGGCAAACCAGTCAAGGTTGGTCAAGCGTGTCTTCAACTGTCAGCATGAGATTAGCCTCAGAAAGAATGAGCCAGTTAGCTCCTTAGTCTGGTATATCAAAATGAAAATAACGACACATTGTGTACTTTTCTTTACAGCCTAAAACCATAAAAACGGAATCATCCTGTAAACTAGTGGGACACACTTTAGTGAACATTTATTCAACCATTTGTAGCCAGTAGAAAAATACAGATAAGTACTACATATCCCTCCTCCTCTGAAAAATAGAAGGGAAATATGGAAGTGACTGTGAAAGCAATTTTCTGGGGTTGTGAGCATGTTTTCTGGGTCAGATTTAATAATACTGAGCTCATTTGACCATAAAATGGGTAAATAACCATTATAGTAGATCACAGAATCAGTGTTAATTTGTGATTAACACTTTTAAGACACAGTTTCATAGCACCCACATAATACCACCCTGTACAGGATGTTGATTTAATAACATAGTTTTAGCAATGGTACTAAATTTCTCCCAAAGATAATTAGTACATGTAAACCAAATAGAAAAGGAAGTCAGAATAAGGAATAAACAGGAATAGGGAACTACATTTAAATAACATCTTTTGTCAGAAATTCACCATAAATGCAAAGGCAAAGGCTATAAAAAAATAAAATTACATTCACATTTCCAAACTACAAAACAAAATGTACTTTAAAAAAAAAAAGCTTAATAGCACATTGCCCAAACAGAAAGATGCGGAGTGAACATGTACCTCCTGGTCACAAAGATTGCCGTTGAGTCCCTCTGAGTCGGAACCGTCCCAGGTGGAGATGTAGTTGTCAGTTAGAGCGTCCCACACACTGCAAAACAACACACAGACACATACATGCACACATGTAAGGGCAGCTTTCAAGTACCACAGAAACAAGCATCAAATCACTATTTTTGGCCTTAGCCCTAAAGTCTGTCTGCTATTTTAAGCTGCACACAGTGTAGTTAGACAGTTATATAACAGCATTAAACTAGAGTTTGGTGTGTTCTTTTATCTCCCTGGTTACAAGGCGGTCTACTCAGCCCTGTCTTCAGCAGCCTGCAACTCAGTCAATATTTCAAAGTGGCAAGTTAATGATGGTGGTCAATATGGCGAGCTGGAGGCAGAGGAACAATGCACAACAGGAAAAAAACACAGCTTACTACTCAGTAAAAGGTATCCTTAGCAGAGATTTAGATAAAGCTCCTCACATCATTGTGCCAGTGGTCTCTGACTGTAGCCCAGTGCTAGCGTCTGTCTGAGGAAGAATGACATCAAACTGGGAGAGAAGTCTCCTTTGTGTCTTTTTCCATCCTCCACTCAGAGGTTGGCTCAGGCCTGTTCCCCTGCTCCCAGTGGCACTGCCCACACCCGGACACACAGTGGACACCATTCAGCTAACGGCTTACCTCACCAGCACACCATGTCTGCATGCAATGGCTGCATGCAACAGCACATAAACAGGGTCAAAGTTTCAATACACTTTTTTATTTTATTTATTTATTCATTTTATGGAGAGGTCTGTATTGCTTGCTTTTTAATGTGTTGTTGAAGCAGTTTGTGTGAAACAGTGCTATGGAAATGGCAATGTGTGGTTTTACAGGGTGCAAACAATTTTTTGGCTGGGAGCAATGCTGGTAAGCCATTTTGTATTAATTTCAATTCAATTCAATTCAATTTTATTTGTATAGCGCCAGTTCATATCAGAAGTTATCTCAGGACACTTTTCAGATAGAGCAGGTCTAGACCGAACTCCTTTTAACATTTACAGAGACCAAACAGTACCACCATGACAAGCACTTGCGACAGGGATTAAACATTTATACTTTGGACGAGCCAGCATACAAATGATGAAATACACATTTAACATGAATCCAACATAGTATTAGCAAAGATACTTTTTTTTTTTTAAAGAAATTAATAAAATTACATAACATTGATGATAGGCTACCCATGAAACCTTGTTCAATCATGTGAGCTAAATGTAGCATAACATCCATATCCATAACATAACGGCAAACTATTTAGCTACGCATTATTGAAACTACTCCTGTTTACTCTTTTTTTACCTTCCTGTTTTAACCTCTTATTTTTATATAAGCCCTTCTATGGACAGGTGTTGTGAGTGAGCATTCGCTATAAACACTATTACTTGCATCGGATAGCTGTTTTCAGCCTGACTATGTTTGTTGTATATGTCCCTATCAAATAAACAATAAGTAAATAAATAAAGATGGTCTCCTCATCTGAGTGTATTTCAAACTCTTCCTTCATTAAATGAATCTGAAAAACTAAAGGAACTAAAAACTCACCTCATTAAAAGACGTTTTCGAAAAATCTAATCAGTAATAACAGCAGTGCAAACAGCCCACTCACAGCTCATACTGCACGCATAACACAGGGACACAGTTTAGTCGTCTGGCCAGCAGGAACTGGAACTCCGTGTTACAAAGCTGTCCTGCTGTGTCAGTTGGCCCACAGCCACTGAGGAGAAATCATTCTGTTTAATATTCTACTTCTCCATCAGCTCACTCATATCTGCGATTCTAATCAGTCAACTGCAGGGGTTACTGTGGGCCAGAAAGTGTGACAGACTGTTTTAAACCGAATATATCTGTGTCTGTAAAATTCTCCTGTTTTAAATGAGTCACTTTATGTTTTCCTATATGCCATAACACAACACGAAGTCCTCAGTGTGAGAGCTGTCTTGGTGTCTATTAATAGTTTTCTATGTCTAAGTGACACTAAGGTGATTCAATCTGTAGTGAATGAGACTCACTTCACAGCATGGATTATTGTTGTTATTGTAGGAGGAGGAACAATGAGACGTTGTTAATGGGACAAAAACTGAAAAAGAGGTGGGGAACAGTGTGTATCTGACCTCACTGTGTCTATACTGGTTTCCTTATCTGTGCCACAACAAATCAGTTTATGGCATTAGGCTTGTGCCTTGGTCATAACATGCAGATTAGTGTAGCACTGCAGAACTCACATCCACTCACAGCCCTGTGTCCTGAGCTCAATTATCATCCAACGCATTTCTAACAGAAATCTAATGTTTGCAAAATCATGTTATTCATATCCAAAAATTCCCCTCTTACACCTACAGTGGGACTATTTTTAGCATGATTCATATCCACACGGGGCCAGGACGTGCGTGTTTCCGCCTCAGAGCCCCTTAGCAAAAGGAGGAGGATCAGGCAGTCAGCTGGTGGAGAGACAGAGACAGACCGACGGAGCCAACTGAGGCGTACGACGCTGCACATTGAATAATTCAGTGTGCAGCCTGACTGGTGCTGGTGGTGCTGCTGGGGAGGGTGGGGTCACCCAGCTGATTGACTGGTTGTTTGGGATGCTACGGTCTGCATGTGGTAATATTTTGGCTGTTGTCATGTGTTTGGCTGCTGAGCCACTGTTAATGGCCTTCAGAGTGTGTTGTGACTGGCGTTATGGCAGGATAATAGTAGGCTTGTGTGTAACTAACATAAAGAAGGAGGAATAGGTTCTATTTTATGTGTAAGGCTGGAATTATAACATAAATTTGAGGGGACACATACCCCCAGTATTGAGACATGCTTAAAATGCAACCCCTCCGATATTGGATGGGGGACATACCTAATCATAACAAATTGGCATTATTATTACCACTGGATATTACGGCCTACTGTAATTCTGTGTGTGGTTTGTCCATGTGGTGTTGCTGTACTTCAGCAGACTGCTGTGTACTGCTACAATCAATATGAACAACTTGCTGTCTCTCTATTTCATTACTTTCAAATGTATTCAAAAGTGGAAAATTAGAATGTAATATGAGTGTTAGGTAGGCTGTCAACTGTAATAGTGTTTGTAGTGTTATGGAAAATGAAAAGGAGCAAATATTGTCAGTGAAGACCGAATAATGACATCGCTGCAGTCTAATGCCAATGTACAAACTCCTGTTGGCCTCCACCTTATTGAAGGCTACTGTTTCAGATACTTTCTGTATATTAAAATTGTTGTAACATACTGTAGGATGCTGTTTGGAATAGGGCTGTATGATATGCTAAAAAAAGTCATATTGCGATTATTTTGACAGATATTGTGATATGATTTACGTTTAATGGGAATTATCTATTTTTAAACAAGATTTGACATCTCTGCAGCACTACAGTACTTCATTATAATGCTATGCATATGCATAGTTTGGAATGTCAAGTTATCTCTATTTTTAACCCAAAAATACTGACGCAAATGCTTTTTGATGGAAGTCTATAATGCCACATGAGCATTTCTAGAAAGTGGACCTCGTGCCTTAATTGTCAAACTATACTACTCACTCTTCGTCCTGCAGCCTCTCCTCATCCTCCTGGTTGTGCGACTGGTTGCGTATGGGCGCTAGGCCCTCCGTCTTGGTGTTGTAGTTGTGGAAGCAGACATTGAGCTTCTCGTCAAACTCGTTGACCAGATCCTCCATAGACTTGAAGCTCATCATCTCGGAGAAGTTCTCCAGTTCAGAGAAGTCCTCGCGGGTGATGGAGGCCAGGGGGATGGTGGTGGTGGTGGAGTAAGAGGAGTGGGTGAGCGTCGGGTGGTCCAGATCGTCCATACGGCAAGGCCGGAGGTCATCGAACTCCTCATCCAAACACACAAGAGGGGCCTCCATGGTGTCCCCCGTTTGTTAGTCTCTGAGCCCTGCACAAAAAGAGTGGCAGTGATTTAGTTAATGCATCGAGTTTGCTAAATCAGCACAATGTCCTAGGTTTCATCAGCATCTTTTAAACGAGGAAAGGCCACCACTGCAGCAAACATGTTAATAAGTCGGTAATCAGACAGAGCACAAAGGTCCATCTCTGTCCCCATCTGCTAGATTTACCAATACCCCAGAAGGATTTATCTGCCATCTCTTAAATCATTCCTGCCTCACCTCATGGGCACCATGCTGTCTAGACAAAGAGGAGATGGAGGTAGATGTGCCAGAAGGGGACCAGGTCCCAAAGGGAACCCAACCAGTTGGCTTTACTGGTAAACCACAGTTAATTAAGCAACTCTACTGGGATTTACCTGATTTACATGATCTTTGGACACTATATCACAATAAGGCTCACTTTGTTTGGTACTAAATGAGTATATGGGTGTAAAAATTTATCATTCATCATTATAATGCTGCTCTGAGGAAGATTTAATGAGAAGTACAAGCACGTATATCCATTGTAAAAATGAATATACTCATAAGGATACATTTGTACAGCACAAAATAGCACTTTTGGAGTTCTGGGACAGACTTTTAGAAAATGACTCCAAAATATATTTGCTAGGTAAAAAAGCTAAATGTAGCATTTTACAAAGAGATAGGGAATCAGGAAGCCTGATCTCCAGATTTCAAGTTTTATTTTTGGTCTTTTAATTTTCATTTTATTTCCTCCCTTGTGTATTTGGTTTAGCCTGCCATTTAAGGCAGCTTGGCACACCATTGATGAGAAACCGCTTACAAGATGTGGTATATTCAAATGTTCCCTTCAAAATCCCTCTAAATTTAGTGGAATTGTGTTCAATCAGTTCTATTCCCAGAAAGATATGAAGTCACTACAAAGTTATCATTCTCACTTTCTTCTGTTCAATAATACCAGATAATTAACATCTGAAAATACTTTTTCTTTACCGCAGTGCATTGACAAAGCAACTCATACACTTTCAGATATGTTTCAAAGGGGTGAAATCGGCACATTCCAAGATCTAAAAAACTGTTTTGATTTACCGGGTTCTCCTTTGTTTATTTATTTAGAATAGACCTTTTTCACAGCAGCCATTTTGACTTGAAATAGTAGGGTAAACACAGGTGTTACCAGTGACATCAATCAAGGTTCTGTTCCATTTATTGTAGCAGAGGCTTTCTAGTGAGCCAACATGCACAGTAGCAGCACCCTGACTCTGTTTGACCTGAATGGAACACATTGGTAACACCTGTGTTCACCCTATTCCATATCAAAATGGCTGCTGTAAAATAGGTCTACTGGTGCATTATAAATGTGTTCACAGAGCATATTCTACTCCTCTTATGTTATACCAAATTAAGTTCTTAGCGTAGTGTAGTGTGAGTCATGGTACAAATATTATCTCATGGTTTGGGAATGGAAAATAAGTCTCTATGTTTTGGAAAACAGTAAGCATGGATATATCTTATATTATATAGGAGAATAAGCCTTGTTTCCAAACTGCCCTACTCCCAAATGACGATGGGTTAGGTTGTGGTCGTTTCTTTGTAGATTTAATCAAATTATCATTAGAGAGAAAGCAGGTAACAGTAACTGTAGAAAAACATGCTTAAAAAGATATGGATCTAATAAAGTCACACAAGGGCCATCAGTAATTGAAAAATCAGCAGCATCAGAAGCAGCGTTCATTGTAACACTGCAGTCAGACTTTAGGGAGAAGTTGTGCCTCGGCCAGGTTGTCAGACGCAGTGTAATTACAGTAGTGAGGCCTAAATTTCATCCTCTGTGCTTTGCTGGACCGTGGCCTGCCTGGCCTAAGTGGGTGAGTACAGAGGAGTCCATTTAAAAACCAGCTTGTGCAAGCCTCTTCTTTCTCATCACACCACTCAGCAAAGTGCTGCTCCGTCAACAGCCGGATATTGTTTTTCAGGATCTCTCCTCCCTGTACTGCTGTGGGTTTTTTGTTTGCATCTGCTTGGACTTCAGCTCTCACACTTATTTCTAATTCCTCCACAAAATAAAAGCTATGGAAAACATCCTCGCAGCAGAGGAATGAATCACCCACTTTTATGTGACAGTGACTGACAGCTTGTGTCTGTCAATAGACCCAATTAAGGTCATTTGGTCGACTCAAATAAGGAGCATGGAAATTAGTAGCTGACTCTAACCTTGCCACAGCGACTCTTTGCAGGAGACGCTGATGGTTGAAAATTTGGCAGGGAGAAAAATCACGAAAGCAATTTCCTAATAGCACTTTCCTGTCATGCTGAAGCCTTTAAATGTACTGCCAGGTTAGTTCAGCTAGATGGATGTGGAAAACTCTGGAATATTTCTCTGAAATTACAGCATCCACACTGGTGCTGACAGCAGTATGGACGGTGTGAGAGGTGCAGGTACCGAATGTCCGCACAGTGTGTGTTTGGGGTGTGTGTCAGCCTTTTTTGTGTGTGACCTTCATACAGAGTGGTGGTAGTCTCAGGTGTGTCTCCACAAGCACGCAGGTATGAAAAGAGCTTTAATGCAATGGAGCCCCATTTTCCTGTGGGAGGGATTTCCACAGCCATGCGACAAAGCATTTCTTTTCCATTTTGTGACTCCAAGCAGGAATTTAAACCATATTTGTATGGAAAATAGCTGTCAAATCATTCCAATTCTTTCCCCACATATACATAACTGGCAATGGATTCCACTTCCAAATCAATTCTCAGGCCGCTGTGGCAGAAATAGAAATCAAGCAAGTGCATGTCATCAGCTCATCAGAGGGAGAAAAAAGAGGAAAGTGGGGGAGGGAGAGGAGTAGCAAGCAGAGAGGAAGGAGAGAAGGAGGAAACCATGGTTACAAGGCGAGGATGGAGGAAAGATGATGCACAGTGAGTACCTCTGAGAGGACGGGAAATGGAAGAATGAACAGTGGGGTGATAGGTACAGCGAGTAGGAAGGCAGATCACCTGCAGTGGATGTTGTTGTGGCTCAGTGTGCAGGCAGGATCTGCTCAGACGAGGAGAATCTGTGCCTAAGCCTCCCTCCGCTGCAAAATCCACCGATGAGCAGCAGCAGTCATTCCAGGGTGAAAGAGAGAGGGTGAAACAATCAGGGAGGTGAAGATGGCAATGTGGTCCGAGCTTTTGGTCTGTATCCCTTCCCTCACCCGTTAGCCCGCAGCCACCCTTATCTGTCCTCCCACAGCCCGTTGTTTTCCAATCAATAGGCAGCCAGCCCAGCTCACACAGAGCCTGCGCACTGCCGGGCCTCTGACGATATCAGCTCACCCCCTCCCTTTCTTCCCTCACTATCCTCTCTCTCTCCCTTTGTCCCTGCCTCCTCCCTCCCTCCCCACACGCCTTAATTCCCCAATATTCATGAGGAGAGAAGGAGGAGGAGCAGGAGGATTGGGGGAAGGAGATGTAGCAAGGTAGCACATTGTTTCTCTGTCTACCTTATACACGAAATCCTGTTTACACTGTCACCAGCTTCAGGGTTAAAAGAAGTGCTGCAAACAACATGAGACTAAGCAGTTTCAAACTTTTGATCAGACAACAAGCTAATGGCAAGAATACATTGTTTTCAGTGTTGCAGCGCATCCTGGAAAACGTGCAAATTCAAAGACCAGTTTTCCAGTCATGGAAACACCTGGGAAATAATTTGAGTGCAGTTCAAATGACTCTTCATTTGCAGTTGGTTATAAAAGTGTGTTTGAGGAATTAATAGCAGGATTATTAACAAGCTTTTAATACCTAGTATACAGCCTATCACACATTTCCATAATGCTTTTGGCCTTCCAATCCCTAACTAACCCATCTATAAAGGTATATTCAAAGTAAGGATTATTGGCAACAGGCAATTTAATGACATATAAAGAGAATCTCCTGTACTGATTGCTTTTCATTACATCATTTAATTTCACAGGCAGTTCTCAGATCATATGCAAACACAGCAAATGAACTACAACCAATATTGGACATTTGAAAATAAAAACCACAAAGCAATGATCCACTTGAAATAAATGCAGTATAAGACAATACAGAAAAAATAAAAATTCCAAATCGTCATGAACTTGATCTCAACCCCTCTCTCCTTCACAGCCGTGCTTCAAAATCTGGATAATCCCTGTTTTCAATCTGTGGTTGGGGTTTAGTGCTCCTGTCTAAAAGCTTTGGCCGTGTGAGTGTAAACACACACGCTCACATAAGAGTTCACATGTTGTTATCACACCCAGAGTGCACGCAGACAGGGAAATATTATAACACGGCTGTCTTTGAGGTCTGGAACATCCAGCTGCCAGATATGAGCAGATTTGACAGATTACGTTTTTACAGCCTGATTTTGGGTTTGAGAGAACTGACAAAATAAGCAGTCAGTGTTCAGTGATGACTTTAGACTTGATTTTAAACAGTGTTGTGATGTTTTTTGTATTTATTCCTGTACTGTACACTTAAAAATCTGTTCTTTCTAAAAACAAAATCTCAGTGAACAAGCATGTTATCATCCTTCCAAAATAGATCCTGTAATTTTAGAAACTGGCAAACTGATCCAACAGGCGAAGACAAAGAGAGAAGCTGCAGACAGATTCAGATTCACTGAACACGTGACGTCAGCACACGAGAGGTGCTGTCCCTACCTGCTGTACACTGTAAAAAAATAACCTCTCGTATCAGAGAACCTCTCGCTCACTCATTTCATCATCATCAGTGTGAAACAAACATCATGACCAACAAACACCAACTTCATTAGTCTCTGCAAACAGCTGCTTCTTTCACCACACAACAAGAAAAAGGGAGAAAAGGAAGAAAAGAGATCTGTCCCGTCAGAGGCCTCCCATTACTACGGCAACATGGCTCCCAAAGCCCAGCATTGCACAGACGCTGGTTGCCATGGTTACACCGTAACTGTGCTGGCAAAGGAGTTACTCCACAAGCAGCAGAGGGGAGGAAGACAGAGAGAACTTTAACTTTGTAAACCAGAGTTGTGCTGGCTTTATTTGAGGGGGTAGGACACAGTGTATGGCAGACTGATTTTGATGATTTTAGCTTAAAGCCCCCTCCTCTCAACAATCAGTGTTTCTTGTTGTTCCTACAGTGTGCTGTTGAATGATGTATATGGCAGAGTTTGACTCTTAGAAGGGATGTTTTTTCACATTCATCTGCTGAAGAGTGGGAAAGTTTCTCTGTGCTCAATGGAAAATTGATTTTAAAGGGCGGGGCCTACCAGCATGATTTGTGACATCACAAATAGTTTAGGAAGTCAGTACAGGGTTCCAGGGTATGCAACTTGTTACAGTGTGGTGATGTAGAAACTGAAGCACCAGTGCACCATACACAGGGGCGGAGCAGACGGTTGTAAGGACGTCCTAAAACCTAGGGGGCATGTTTGAGATTTTTTTTTTAATTTACAGCAGGTTACATGCACTATTTTTCAAAGCAGGTTTGAGATAATAGAATGCCTAAAAATCTGCATATTTGGGAAATCATGATAGTTTCTCAGAAAAAAAAACATCCATCCAATTGTTCTCCATCTGTCTTCATCATTCTTAAACCAGAACAAAAGAAATGTTGAGGTTAACAAATTTTTCTCAAATCAAAAGATGCCAAAATTGAACTGAGAATGGACTTTACAGTGAAGTAGGAGGACATCTTGTGTCCAACAGCAAAACTTTTAGAAATGAACAACATTTGCATATTCAGAGATTCTGGAAGTTTTAATGAGGTAGAAGGAGGAGATGACTTTTTAAGAATTTTAAGGTTAAAATGTAAAATTTTTGCATATTGAAAAAACATTTTAAAAAAAACATACCAGACTATTTGTATATGTCTTAATACATGTCTGGGATCTTTAACAAGAGCAAAGTATTCATTCATAAGCTATAACTACTGTACATACAGCAAGACATCTTTGTGAATGGTACCAGTAAGGTTATTATGGCAATGGCTGCACATTGATATTTGATGTGCTGTATATTTCTCTTTATATTTGCCGTGGCATTTTGATTAAAATCTTAGCATTGTTTACATTGGTCATGGTGAACATATGCATACAAAAAATTATGTGAATATCAGTCGTCTTTAAACACTGCCTGCTGCATAATTTGGAAAAACTTCAGCAGCTGAATGCACTGATTACACCTTCAACCTGCTAATGAGCTTACAATACACAATTCTTAATATAGCACATTGCTGCACTTAAGATAAAATGTAAAAACACGTATTTTCATCCATGTACTCTAAGTAAACCATTTGGAATGCATTTTTGTATAGTCAGTCTGTATTTTGCTGACATCTAGTGATGATTCCTGGGACATCATGTAAATCACCTATTCAAGAGATGTATTTAAACTTTGCCATGTGATATCTCATTTTACATAATAAGATAGTGTTATCAGAAGTGATGCAGAGAATATAGCATTTACTCTTGACCCCTATAGGTGCTCTCACTATGTCCCATTACTGCAGTGGTTCTCAACCTTGGTGGGTCGGGACCCCCAGAGGTTGCCAAAGCCTCACAGGGGGTCACAAAGCCTTCTTAATTTTGAGAGGCCTATATCTCACAGGATACAGGCAATAGTATAATAGAACAATGGTCAACCATCAGGCAGAAGAAAACCTTGAATTTGTCAAAAAAGAATTATGTATTAAGTATGTCTGACTGATAATAAAAAAACATATAATACAGAGAATTGTATGTAAAGTTCCTAAGAATATCAGAAAACCTCATCTGTGATCAATATTCACAGGAAATAATCTGCTCAGAATTCATGCAAATCTCTGGTTTTACCCTGACTTCCTGCAGTTATTGTGTTCACTGTTTGGGTTCATTGTACACTTTATCAGCTGTTCTCTACTGTTACTGTTATTGTATATTCATTGAATATAATATATCATCAGTTTACTCAATGAAAAGGGGTCCAATAAGGAAAAAGGCTGGGAACCACTGCCTTACTGTGAGACTGTGGACCATCCATGGTGGCTCAACAGTAGAGGGCACTGATGCAGTGGGATGAGCGTGTTGAAAAAGAGAGTTCATCCAGTTTGTGCCTGTTTGCTTCAGATGACTGCAAGATCATTTTAATGAAAACATCCCGTTCCATCCCTGCATACAACAAGAACACTCTGTAAGAGGCTCTGAGTGGGGAAAGTTCATTAACAGCTATTATACCTGACACTGCTGAGCACGATAAAGTGACAGATAAAGTTTTATATTGAGAAATGTTTAATCTGTTACTTCAATTTGCTCAGCCAATCAGTTTGTAATCCTCTTTTTTAAATCAGCCAGCAGAGAGACTCATCATTCCCATAATGAACATAATAATGATCAAAGTCAGAGAACTGTTGGTAGTGTGCTGTCTGGGGCCAGATCATTATTTTACGATAACAGATGAGATTTCTATATCTCCTGCTGCAGGAACTAGCCGACCCTATCCATCTGTTTGCTTTTCCACCCCATTTGAAATGCAAAGTTTTGTCTTAAATATCAGATAAACCCACAAAATCTCCACAATAAACATGACTTCTTTATTAAATCTCTTCATACTGCAGTCACAATGTTTCTGAACAGCACATGTTTTAGGATTTTTGGATTAAATATTAAGATATGTGCTTATTGGTAAAAGAAGGAAAGTAAAGTTTATTCACAGTGTACCTTTCTGATGCGGTTTCCCTTAAAGTGCTTTACAAGTCGATAAAAACAAAGCAAATGACACAGTTTACACAATGAGACAATTAAAGACACGCAAGTGACAGGCCCGCTCATCCCAATGTCTAAAGGAGGAAGGTAACAGAAAGCTGATCTGGCAGAACGTACGTTCTGAGGGGTTTAAAAATATCTTGATCTAACCTGGCTCTGTGGAGAAACATAAGCATCAGGGATCAATACACTTTGAGAAGAACAAGAAATGCTCTTCTCGTTTTTTCTTTTCATTTTTTGCATTCAAGTGAGAAACTGAATGTTTGGATATTGAACTGAAGTGTAGGATTTATTTAACTGAGTAGCTGAGCCACTGGTTGAATGGTCAAATGAAAAAGCAACTTAACCTCAGACCTGTAATGGTGGTGTGGCTTTAGAACCTCAACAATAGAAGACATTTCAACAGCAGTATGCTGAATCATTACAATTTCACAATGCGCATGACATCCTCTTAATACAATTCAGTAATGAGTTATCATATGTATCACCAGCAGCTCTATCCTTTTGACAGTATGTCTGCTCAGCAATATCTTTTCTGCAGAATGAGCTTGCTTTTATAAATACATTTTCCTTCCCACAGGCCCATTACTAAACAGGCATAAGACACATGCAGTACGTGCTTTACATGGTGACTCCTCTCATTTGAGAAAATGTGGCCCTGCATATTGAATATAAATTGAGTCATTTGGAATTTGTTGAGAGGGAACCTGTTGCTGCTGGATGTGTATTTTTACACCACAATGCTAAATAATGTTCTTCTGTAGCACTGGTTAAACAGCCTACACTGTAAAACCTGATAAGTTTATTTAATTCACAAAAATTTTGAAACTGATGACATCGAACATTTTAAGTAAAATTTACTTAATTTTGTAAGTTAAAAAAACATTATTGATCAAGTACGTTTAGTAATTTTATCTGACACTGACGTCATTTTGACATTTTTATTTGTACCGTGAAAACAAAATACCAAGTAAAAAGTATCAGGAATTTTTTTTTTAACATACAAATTAAAACAGTGTCAAAATTGAAGCTGCTTCATCAAGAATTCTTGATGAACAACTGATGTAATCCGTTTCAACAATCTTTTTTAGTTAACATAACTTATTGAATTAGAGTGTAGTTTAGACCTCAAAAGACAGGAAGGTTCCTAGCAAATGTTTCATATGCCTAAGATGCCTAATTATACATTACCATACCATGACTGTTTGATGATGCGTGTCAACACATTAGTACTTGTACTTAATAGAAGGTATAGAAAAAAACCTGCTTTGAGGTTTCCTTTGTGCTTTACCATTTTTGATTGTGATGCAGAGTTACTGTAGTCTGCTTGGAATGAGAGAAAGGTATGAATAACTGATTGTTGAACATTCAGTAGTGAGAGACAACAGACTGATTTTGAAAATGCTCTAAGCTGCAAAGAAAGAGAACATGATAGGGATTTAATGTGTTGTTCAAGATTAATAATGTATATACTGATCAAAAATATTTCCTAGAACATGACAGCAGTCCTGTGTCAGACACCCCTCTGTTTGCACAAATGAAATTAGCCTTATTAATGATCATTATTTGGTGATTTAGGTCATGATTGTTTAGTGGTAAAATACATGGTGTTTGAAAACCTTTGACCTTTGTCAAGTTATGTGGTAATAGGTATTTTTGAGTGGATTATAAATAATTCCCTTAAAAGAGCCATTATCTTCTCACAGGATTGTCGATCCTGAAGCCTCCTCCAGTGAAGTGAGGTTTGCTGCTCAGCTGGGGCAGAGGTTCCAGGTGTTCCACCTTGGTCTTGGTCCTCTGCTCACTGATGATGAGACACACAGAGCTCCAGCACATCAGAGAATCAACACAGCTATCTCTGACTGCTACAGTTCACTGTCCCTGCATAAGGTAAATTGTGGCTTTTGTACCTAGTGTTAAAGGGCCAGGGTGTAGGATTCAGAGGCATCTAGTGATTGTAGATTGCAACCACAAAACACAAAAGGTCAGTGTTTGATTTGTACGTTCTAGGCTACTCTAGAAACATGGAGGTGCAACATGGCAGCCTCCTCCTCCCTCTGTAGATAAAAACAGCTCATTCTAAGGTAACGAAAACACAATGATTCTTATACTCA